TTTTTTACCTTTATTTATTTATAATTTATTACTACTTATTGTTTAAATGTGGAGTCTTGAAACAATGCAGTCGTATGTTTTCTTTAAGTTTATTTTAAATGCAAAAAAAAAAAAAAAACGATAACTTTTCACGATGGAAGAAGCTAGTTTATTGGAGACGAATATAAAATGACATTCAACGTACTATCATTCGAGTAATAAAATGAAAAAAAAAACTTTTTTTAGAAAAGTCTTTTCTTTTTTATTATTTAAACTTTAAATTTTAAAGTATTGAAAAAAAACTAAACTTAAGGAGTGTTTTAAAATAATCTTAAAAAACGTATATAAACAAATTGCTTTCAATCATTGTATCCATGATAAAAAATCGTAAGTAAGTAGATTTAATTCATACCTATTTGGATACTAAATTTAGATGTACTATTATAAGTTTACTGATTTATGCTTACCTATTAAACCTTGATCGCCTTTTTCTCCAGGTAACCCTGAGCTTCCTTGAGGTCCTGGAGGACCTTCATTTCCCTAAAATAACACGCGATACACATAATAATATATTTAAAACAAATAATCGCTTTAGCACAACAAAGTAAAATAATTTAAAATAAATAGCTTATTATATTGGAGAATTAAAGTTGTTTTTTTGACATAATTTAAATAAAATATGAATTATTTAGTAAATATATTATTTTATTTAAATCAAGTTCAATAAAACGTAGCTTACAGTTCGTCCTGGAGGTCCCACGATACCTGGATTACCTGTTGGACCAATTTCACCTGGAGGTCCTGGAGCGCCTATTTTTCCATCATCACCGTCTCGACCACTACGTAGATAAGTAATTTTAAAATATAATATTTAAAATTAGTTAGTGTTTCACAAATATTAGTTCTAGTACTTTTTTATTACTGAATTCGATTGGTTGAATTAATAAAAAAATTAATTTTTTTTTATATTTTTTACACTGTGATATAAGGCGACCCGACTGACGGACAGTTCACTTTAGATAAAGTTGTTTCTCACAACTAAAATCGAACTTGAAAAATGTAAACCTTATATAAAAATTGTCAATGCTAATTTCTAATGAAATCATGTTTTGCAATTGCTTACATAAATATTTTATCAAAAATGTAAGTATTTATGGTTATTCTTTTCTGAATGAGTATTAAAAATTAAATAGATTTTTCGGAAGTTGAAGTTGAATAAAATATTCCCGTTTTCTATTTGTTATTTGTTATCAATTAATACGTATTTATTTGATTGTGTTTGTTGCTCTTCTCCCCCTCATATAACCAACTTAATAAAATTGTATAAGTACTTAAACATTGAATGTTAAATATGAAAGAATTTTAATATTCTGCTCCAAGACTTGACAGCAAAAATATAATTACTACTTAAAAATAAAACACACATCATAATATAAAACCAATATATTCCTCATTTCATTYAAAATTTAAAAAGGTAGAATTATTAGCAATAAGATAATTATTTAATAATTATTTATATACATGCATTTCTTACCTGTCACCTTTTGGTCCTTGAATTCCTGGTTCACCTTGAGGTCCTGGAAATCCGGGAACACCTGCATTCCCTTTTGGTCCTTCTGGCCCAATGTTACCTATTTATAACATTTATTTAAATTAAATTATTTAAAATTCAAAGGTGTCTATCACACTTATAAAATTCGTCAATATGTTTGTATATAAAAAAAATAGTTAACCTAACAAGAGAATATAAATTGTATTTGAATTCTAATTACATGACAAAAACATATAGATATGACGTTGATTATTTTAACCTAATATTAAAAAGTTGATAAAATTATGTTTGATGGCTATATATAATAATGAATGAGAAACTAATTACGAGTAGTTATCTTAATAAAGATAAAATAATATAGTTTTACTTAAATTAAGCAAAACAAATTTTTGGAATTTTATTGTAATTTTAAGTTATATATTTATATTATATATATATATTATATATTATGCACATTGTATGTATT